AGCAAGTCTACGTGTTCAAACACCGTCGGGTTGATTTGACCTATTACAGAGAGAGAGAAAGAGACCCGTACAAAACAGATCTTTAATAGGGGGAGAATTGGAATGTCACCACCACCTTAAGTGACGCGTATCCTCCTCTGCAGGGTGATCCAGATGTCTTGTGAACCCCATTTAAGTCTCTAAAATGTAATTTTAAAAAAAAAATAAAGTTTATTTAAAACAGAAATGAATCTGCGAAGGGGGAAAATGTCAGGGGTCAATTAATTGTGGGGGGGGGGGGGGGGGGGGGTGTCACAAGACATCTGGACCACCCTGTACAATATATATATTTTTTCAAGAGGGTGGCGGATGTTTTTTTTATTTGAGAAAATGAGAGTTGTTTGGTACTAGAAAGAATGAAAGAAAGAGGGGAGTGAGTGACTGTGAGATAAATGATGGCTGTGCTGGGATAGTGACCGTAACAGGCAAAATCTGCCATCTACTGTTGTTCCATGTCACACACTCAATTTAGCCGCAACGGCTCAGCGTTAATAGCCGCTCCTCTCGTTGGACTCCTCTCACTCTCTCTCTTATTTATATTCCGATCGTAGCCTCCACCGATAAGTCTATTGCAATATATGAAAACAGCATTTTCCAGCAAAACCAGAATTTCCAACAGCAAAACGTTTTCATGGTGAAGTCAAGCTGATTACTGTGCAAACAATCGACGTTTTCATCTGAGTTGTGAAAAAAGAGCAGCGATCGGAGTATTTGCAGCATTCTGTTTGATCTGCCCATTCTATTCGGGTGAGCCTCGTTGGCGTCATTCAAATGTCAAGTGTTTTCCCATGCAATAGTTTTAACTACATCGTTAAATCCATTTTCAATGCAGGGGCAGGAATTCAACCAAGAAAGAGAGAATAATTATGGCCAATTTGCAGAATGTGCTCATTACTCTATTCACTGTGGGAGAGTGACCTACGTGCTTGAGAATAATGCCGTGACAGCCGTTTGTACCCTTACAAATCATAACGTGTCTCATTTTGTTTTTAGGGCGAATACCGGGTACACGTTGGTCAGAATAGCAAATAAAACACGGTTGTTGTTATTTTTTCTTCTGCCAAACATTGCTTCACCGTATCGATTACACGTACGTGTTAAATACACACGGCAAGGCAACATGTATTATTATGTCGGTTCACAGTGAGCAACCTCCCTCGCAGCGCCAACGGTGCCCAACGCTCACATTCACCCGCACGTGACGTGCCCAGGAGCTCATGTTAAACATTTCATGGCGATTAAACAAACATGGCAATTGTAAAAATCACTATGCACCGCAGGACTGCCGCCGCCCCCCACCCCCCATTAATCTCAAGAGCGCTCCGTCATCGACCGCGATCAATTCTCCACGAATTTCCCCCCCCCCCCAGGGTTCAGGTCCGAGGTGCACGGTGGGGTCACGCGCCGACCAAATGGGCCCGGGCTCGCGTGCCAGTGGAGTTTGTGGACGCAGCCTTTCCCTTGCCAATGGAGATGGAACAGGTCCCCCGCTAGGACAGTGCTCGACTCGCCGGAGAAAGATAAAAAAAACACCCTCGGTATCGCCACTCAATGCAAGACCGTTGAGAGGCAAGTTGCCGTTAGCAGGCGTCTGCGATGGCCAACGCGGCGCACGAGTGGGTTGGATGGTTGGGTGGGTGGCCAGCACCACGCCCGGTTGCCTCTGAGTCAACCTGCGGGAGGCCCAGGACCGGTTGAGATTTTTGTCACCGATGAGCGGGAACGGACCTCGGGGTCGCTTGGTTCGTGGCGCTGTCCGCTTAATCGCAGTGCGCCACCGCTCATCGCACGCAAAGCAACACGCTCACAGTGACACGCAGTCTCATATCGGCACAAACCGCTGCAACAACTGCTCCCCATGGCCTAGCAGGAGCGCAAATTCGCCGCTTGTTGGAGAGGTTCACGGATTATTCCTGCGGATGTTATGACCGCAATAACACTATACGTCGTATGCTTCAAAGGGGACGTTAAAGATCGCCTGCCATCATTCGCAAGAGCAGACCAGAGTGTTGCTGGCGTCAGGGTCAACGTTTGCCAAATTTTGACAATTGCACGAGCATATTACGCACCTCCGATGAGCACGGTTGGCTCCATATGGTGCGAAAGAAGTTCAACATAGCCCTCAACTGGCAGTCTAATAACCCAGGTCACTTTTGCAAATTCGTGTCTTTGAGTTTTCACCTAGATAAAGAAAGAAACGTCAACACCCTCACAGTAACAGCAGTCTCATTAGAACACAGCGCGAAGCTGGCCTGGGCTAACCCCAGGTCGGCTCTGATGAACATGAGTTGCTTTTAACTGTGGTGTTCAACATCGACGTTGCGAAGACTAATGGTGCGTGTGGGCGTTGCCTCGTGCTGGCTGCACACGTCACCGTGCCTGTTGTTCCCGGCCATCATCAGTGGGTGCTCACTCAAACTCACTTGTCACTATCACCTGTCACGACCAATCGGGAGATGTTTTATCGTCACGAGTGAACGAGTGTGCTGTATCGTTCACGAACGGACAACAGTGCGCTCTATCAGCAGATATAATCACCTGGCTGAGCCGGGCTAATGTCTCAATATGCAACCGCCACCTGTGCATACCAGGTGCTGTAGGCTGCGAGGGCTGCTTGGTGCAATGAGATAGCAGCACAGCGATGGGTGTGGTAAATAGATGGATTCGGTTCCACTCACAGGACCGAGTCTGTTGAGTGTTTACCACCTGACGTGCGCGATTGGGGGTTTTTTCCACGTGCATCGGTTTCTTCCCAAAATATACTTGAACTCGAACACTCTGGTATCGATGGAAGGATAACCCCTATTCTGATTCATCATACTTTGAAACTGACAAAAAGGTCCCATGAAGTAGCTGTTCACCCCGAGCTCTAAATGCTCTGATACGTGCATTGTCTTTGTGCTGTTTGCCTTTTGGAGTTCTCTGGGCTAACACTGGTGCTGAGACAAGGCCATATAGAAGGCTCTCTCTGGTGTAGGACAATCCGTTTCAAAGACAATGCATGAACCCTTATTGTTACTGGCTAAACATCACAACGCAGAATTCTCCTGAAAAATGGGTTATGAGACTCATTGTAGCTTTCCTGGGTAAAAACCTTTATTAGACGTCTATGCTCCAACATCTAATCTCCCAACTTTCATTAACCCACACTGACCAGCACGGCAAAGTATAGTAAAGGATGCATCGTGACCTGCATGGCATGATGAAACCCTCATCCAGCAGTGGATCGACCAAGGGCTGTACATGTGCATGTATGCTCTGTAGTGTATGCATGCTAGTATGAATGTAGAAAATGTATTATTTTCAATTTATTTGTAATTTTATTTCACTATTTTTATTGTGTTTTTTGGCTTTCATTATTTTCAATTTATTATTTTTCTTTTTTATTATTTAAAAAAATGTTGTATCTACGTGGCTACACTGAAAGAACCAAGAATATGAATTCCTGCAGTCACGAAAGTTTTAAGTCAAAATATGAATGCAGTATTTATATGACAGCGAAAGGAAATAATATATGCCGTTTAACATCTGGAAGGAGATGTTTAGACAGCTCTCACTCTATTAATAGCAGGCCAGCACCAGTGACACAGAACTGTGTGTCTGTCTGGAAGTCCAATTTGATTGGTGTCTTTTTGGCACCCATTCGGGTCATTACATCTAAGAATGTGTCAATACAACAAACTGTGCCATGCAGCGCCCATCCAGCATCGCGCGGGCATATCGATCATCTGTTCTGTTTAAAGGCATTATAAACGATGCGTTAATAAGGGAAATAGACCAGATCTGGCCTAGGATCTTCTACACACACACTTTCAACGTGAAAGGTGTTTAAGGCCAACTTACAATACAAAGTTGTTTTACTTTGCGTTCGCTGTTACCGTCACACAGCAGGTCACTTTGTCTACTATCGTGGGTGGAAAATGAGAAATGTTTCGATGATCTGGGCCCATGTGTGTGTTTATAAATGTTGAGTGGTGGCACAGCTGTGTGAGCAACAGCACGATGGACCCAAATATCTGGGGTGGATTCTCGGCTGTGCAAAATACCAGTGGAAAGTGGTAGTTCCTTTTTTTCTCCTTCTTTTTCCAAGCCTACCATAGGTCAAGTAAAGGTAGTACTGGCCACACCCCCCCCCCTCCCCCTTGTGCACTGTCTCCTCTACTGGACAGCTGTGAAAAAGAGCTTTATAGCTCATAGGATTCCTCCAGTATAAATATTCTGATTCTGAATAGGCGCTCGCTATCAGCGTTTGACTCAAACGTCAAAACATTATCCATTGAGCTTGTGTGTGTGTGAGTCAATACACTTCGACAACTCCTGGCCATGCCCACCTTTGGCTCCTCTCTTCCAACTCAGCCTAAAACATGAGTAGGTAGTTGTTCATGCAGTCTCATCATCATCATCATGAGCCGTAACAGGTGCTCACGAATAACGCATTCCTATCGAGATTAACATTGTAAAAACGCGGATTTGTCTTTGGTAAACATGGTGGAATTTGAGAAATATAAGTGTTGCCCTTGGATTTTAAGTAAAAATAAACTCTCGTAAAATAAATTTGGTCAGAAAGCCAGTGCACCGTTACAAGTAGATTCATCGATTCCACAAATTGAAATTGCCAGACTGGACCGCCACTTCGCACCACGTGTGTTTGGGATTTATTTTGTTATTACAAAAAAAAAACTGAGCGATTGACCGGTAAAGTGGCAGTGAAATAGGAACAGTGGGGTCATCATGTTTTCTCGGTGGGATACTGCCCCTCGTAGCTTTATTTGAGCCAGCGGCCATCAAGTGGAGCTTTTTGTTGTTGTTGTTGTTGTCTTTCCGATGATGACAAATGCAAGCCGGGACGGGTGCTGTGAAAACAAAACGACCTCAAGGCACAATCACATTTCTATCAACTTGTCTTTTTTCTCTCTCTCTCTTTCTCTCGGACATAGCTTGGACGCTGTGTGTCTTTGCAGTGTGGGCGAGCGTCGTGGTGATGCCAGGATGGGGAGGGATGACGTGGAGAGTGGCAGGTAAGTTATCTGCAATCGTCCGGTCGGCTCAAGAGGCCTACGTGCGGTTTGCTGGAGCACTGAGCCTCTTCAAACCGCAAGAAAAACAAAACTTTATTTACTTAATGTGGACGTGTACTTGCTTAAGTGGTGGCTTGTTATTGAGGGCTGGTGGAGCGGAACTCCTATTCGTAAAAAATGTATGGAAAAAAAACCTTAACAATACTAATCTCATATTCTTAGTTTTTTCGGTAAAGTCACGTTGAAGAGAAACAACAAAATAACAAAATATATATAAAACAATAAAAAATTCTCACGACGTTTCGACCATAACTCAAACGGTCATCATCAAAACGGTCATCATCAGGATCAGGATTCCTGATGATGACCGTTTGAGTTATGGTCGAAACGTCGTGAGAATTTTTTATTGTTTTATATATATTTTGTTATTTTGTTGTTTCTCTTCAACGTGACTTTACCGAAAAAACTAAGAATATGAATTACTGCAGTCACGAAAGCTTTAAATCAAAAAATACTAATCTCTTCATTATAGAGATTGTAAACGCCATACAATGCCTTCCCTCACCACGCCACCCCCCACGAGATTCTATGCCCCACCAATGAATTTACCTACCGTCCGCCACTGACTTAGCTGTCAGCGGCTGGCACTGTCTCAGGCCAGCCCAGTGATGACTGAACTCAACAAAGAGAATTGCACCTTAAATTGGTGTCAGAAAGCGCAGCCCCAGGGGCTGCACGAACAGTGACGGATACAGAGGAGGGATGGCTTGCATCTCATTGCATGAGGATGAACAAAGGGATAACTGAGTCTGTGCTAGATGGTTTTTATAGGTCCAGTAGTACGTTTCTGAAAGTTCATATCAGGTATGGTTATGTTTGGTGTCTTGTACTGAGGCCGGGATATCACTGTTGATTGTGAATCTGCATGAATTTATAACGGAAAGAGTATAAAGCGTATTGCTCTTGGCGAGCACTTTATTGTACATTTATATAATACTTAATATATTATTTATTTAAAAACATATATTTTTTATAAATCGTTATCGTGCTAGTAAGAAAAGAAGCCATATTACGCGTATTCAAATGTACAGGGTGCGCACGAAAGTATCATCCGCTCTTCGATAATTGTCAACGTACTGTGCAGCAGTTGAAGCAGAAGCACACAACGAAATACACACTTGGGGCACAGTGCGATGATTTTATCGCGCAAGTGTCAATCCCTCGAATCCCTCCACATGCCTGGCACTGGTGGCATTGGCGACACAGCCGGTTGAGACGGAGAAGGGTCCCCCAGGTGCTCTCTCGCCAGTATCTCGTGTGCGTGCGATGGCTTTTGAGTTTCTGCTCTGTGCAGTCGGAGAGATCACTCGAGCTTTTCAGTTTTGGAGAGAGAAAAAAAAACACCCCCAACTTTGTAAGGAATGTGTTTCCAACATTTTAAAGCCAAGCAGTTCACTCAAACTGATGTACATTTTTGTAATTCTGTTGTAGTGGATGATATTTTTTATGGACACCCTTTATAGATATACTTGTTTACAGAAAACAGTTCTGAAGCTTAGTTTCAGTCCGGGTGCACGGAATGTACGTGCAGTGTAATTGGCTCACTTTTGCACTATCACTTCTAACCAGGGCCGGATTACGGTTATGAGGGGCCTAAGGCTAACAGGAGGGACGGGCATAAATATATTACATACAAGAAACATTTTGTTATGAAGTCATCAAACATTTGCATTTACTCATGTAAAAAAATAACAAATTTATTCTACTCAAGGTGAATTCATCAAACTTAAATCGCTCACGACACTCATTTCTTCAAACAAACAAAGCAAATGTGTCCCATGGCTTTACAGTGAGGGAAAAACGTATTTAATCCCCTGCTGATTTTGTACGTTTGCCCGCTGACAAAGAAATGATCAGTCTCTAATTTTAATGGTAGGTTTATTTGAACAGTGAGAGACAGAATAACAACAAAAAACATCCAGAAAAAACGCATGTCAAAAATGTTATAAATTGATTTGCATTTTAATGAGGGAAATAAGTATTTGACCCCTCTGCAAAACATGACTCAGTACTTGGTGGCAAAACCCTTGTTGGCAATCACAGAGGTCAGACGTTTCTTGTAGTTGGCCACCAGGTTTGCACACATCTCAGGAGGGATTTTGTCCCACTCCTCTTTGCAGATCTTCTCCAAGTCATTAAGGTTTCGAGGCTGACGTTTGGCAACTCGAACCTTCAGCTCCCTCCACAGATTTCTATGGGATTAAGGTCTGGAGACTGGCTAGGCCACTCCAGAACCTTAATGTGCTTCTTCTTAAGCCACTCCTTTGTTGCCTTGATCGTGTGTTTTGGGTCATTGTCATGCTGGAATACCCATCCACGACCCATTTTAAATGCTCTGGCTGAGGGAAGGAGGTTCTCACCCAAGATTTGACGGTACATGGCCCCGTCCACCGTCCCTTTGATGCGGTGAAGTTGTCCTGTCCCCTTAGCAGAAAAACACCCCAAAAGCATAATGTTTCCACCTCCATGTTTGACGGTGGGGATGGTGTTCTTGGGGTCATAGGCAACATTCCTCCTCCTCCAAACACAGCGAGTTGAGTTGATGCCAAAGAGCTCTATTTTGGTCTCATCTGACCACAACACTTTCACCCAGTTGTCCTCTGAATCATTCAGATGTTCATTGGCAAACTTCAGACGGGCATGTATATGTGCTTTCTTGAGCAGGGGGACCTTGCGGGCGCTGCAGGATTTCAGTCCTTCATGGTGTAGTGTGTTACCAATTGTTTTCTTGGTGACTATGGTCCCAGCTGCCTTGAGATCATTGACAAGATCCTCCCGTGTAGTTCTGGGCTGATTCCTCACCGTTCTCATGATCATTGCAACTCCACGAGATGAGATCTTCCATGGAGCCCCAGGCTGAGGGAGATTGACAGTTCTTTTGTGTTTCTTCCATTTGCGAATAATCGCACCAACTGTTGTTACCTTCTCACCAAGCTGCTTGGCAATGGTCTTGTAGCCTATTCCAGCCTTGTGCCGGTCTACAATCTTGTTCCTGACATCCTTGGAGAGCTCTTTGGTCTTGGCCATGGTGGAGAGTTTGGAATCTGATTGATTGATTGCTTCTGTGAACAGGTGTCTTTTATACAGGTAACAAGCTGAGATTAGTAGCACTCCCTTTAAGAGTGTGCTCCTAATCTCAGCTCGTTACCTGTATAAAAGACATCTGGGAGCCAGAAATCTTTCTGATTGAGAGGGGGTCAAATACTTATTTCCCTCATCAAAATGCAAATAAATGTATAACATTTTTGACATGCGTTTTCTGGATTTTCTTGTTGTTATTCTGTCTCTCACTGTTCAAATAAACCTACCATTAAAATTATAGACTGATCATTTCTTTGTCAGTGGGCAAACGTACAAAATCAGCAGGGGATCAAATACTTTTTTCCCTCACTGTAGCTGCGGCAAAGTCACGAATTATGTCATCGTAGTTCGATGGCCGCTGTACGACCTCGCAACGTAGAATGGGAGGACACAAAGCAGAGGCCTACAAAACACAGAGGGCCCGTGGTTTGAATCCGGCCCGGCTTCCATCACTGCGGGCGCTTGCGACGGGGTTCGTTTGACAGCTGGTGTGGCGGTTGTACGTTTCAACATCATCCCCCACCTCTGTGACAGCCCAAAAAAATCCTTCAAAAAAAGTCCTGGACAGCACGTGCATAACAATGACAACAGTCGCACCTATCTGAAAATGCAGTGCGGAGTGGGGGGAGGGTGAGAGAGATTGGCAAGAGTAGGTTACAAATCTCACGACGCAAAGTCTGTTACTAATTAGGCCTACATTTTTTTTTAGATGAACCACTCTGCTCATTTCGCTCAATTAATCAATTACGTGTACTAATTTATAGCCAATCCACAGCACGTCGAGGCAAACATCTCCCGTGTGAGAGATATCTAGGGTAAATACGAGGTAAAACAAAACATAGTATGCAATTAATCTAACGTGTATGAATCGTTTGCAATCGGAAACCCCACGGTCAAAATTTGTCATCGCATCAAATTAAGCCACGAGCCACCACTGCCACGTTTCCTGTTCGCTGTGGCTGCCTTGAGTGCGGTATTGATTCTTTGGCCCAATAAATATAGGGGCACCAAGGGTGGAGGTGGGGGGCAACCACCCAATATTAGGGGCCACCTATACCCGCACGCTCAGCGGCATAAGTGGGACGAGACCGCAAGAGCAGACCGTGGCGGTGAGGTGTCGACTGTCACGACTGCTGCAAGGATCTGGCAGGCGCAAGTCTGCGCCGTGTGAATTGTGGTGGCGTCAAAGCACTGGCGGTGATTGACTTGTCTTTAACATGAATGCGGGTGCCTCCCCGTCCACCCTGAAGCGCTGTCTCTGAATGGGAGGAATTATCATGGACAGGGGTGGGCAACCAAAATAACAAGAAGGGCCAATTTTACGTTTCGAATTTGGTAACAAACAACAACAACAAACTCCCTCAATATTTCGAGAGCCGCAATGCGTGTGAATGACGTCACGAGGCAGTTTTGTAAAAGAGCCGCACGACCCCCGATAACGGAGATGTGCAGGGACCACGTGCCATCCCAGGCCGTGGTGGACCTGGGCATTACTGGAGGCACCTGAACCCCAAAACAGAAATTATTTTGGCTCACCTCCCCTCCCCCTCGGCCATTTTATATCTCGGCTATTGAGTTTACAGACGAGAGATAGACAAGAGATAGAGATATCGTGCGATGAGAAAAAGAGAGATGGAGATGTGGTGAGATGAGAGGGATGTACATGGGCAACGATGGAGTGAGATGAGAGAACAGGGGTACAGACGTCACAGGGATTAAAGAGAGTAATTAGACATGTTTATGTCAATTAGCTTAGATGCATCATTAGACCTCCTTTGCCAGTACCAAAAAATAATAATAGGGTTTTCCCCTTTTTTTGGCAACAAAACTGAAACCTTTTTACAAGGATTCATGTCTGCATTAACCACAATTCCTGCAGTCAAAATGCAAACAAAAACATACTATGATAATATATGATGCATTGTCCTTGAAACTGATTGGTCCACACCAAGGGACGGCTTTCTTTTGAGTCTCGACCCAATTGGTGCTCGACCAGATGACGCCAAAAGGCGTACACACAGTGTACACACTGTGTGCCAGAAGAAAGGGGAAAACCCTTATTTTGATAGCTTACATGCATTAATTAGCATTTCAATGCGAGCTGATCTTTGGTTCACCCATATTTATTCAGAAATACGTCGCCCCTTTAGCTGCTTGGGGTCCTTATGATTTCCTTAATTTTCTTGTCTAGATGATTGCAACTCCTTTACGGCATACCTCAAACACAGCTACATCCATACCGGCCAACCTCTTATCAGTGCCCTACCTTATTAAAGACCAATTCAGACCTTATTGGTCACCCCGTGCCCTTATGATTCTCAACGTTCATCCTACAAAGTCCCATCACGAGGGAGAAACACAAACAAACAGACACATTGTTGTTGCCCGTATTTAAACGGCTGTACGCCGTATGGACCTGAAAACTCAATTTCCCTGTACAAGAATACGGGGTAAAGCGTATGGGTTGACAGCTATGGCTACAACGCCTTCAAAATCATCCAGAATAATGCCGCTAGACAAATTTTCAATCCACCAGAAATCATCCCACATCACGCAAACTCAAAAAAACAAACCTTACGCTGGCTACCAATTAAATAGAGGATACAGTACACTTGAACATCATCCTATGAAGATGCAAAGCAATCCAAAACCAAGCTCCACCTTACAGTAGAAACCTCATACGGATCAAGCAAAACTACAGATCACTTTGCGCTCCTCAGCCCAAACAACCACTAACAACCAAACACACAGCCCGTGGGACTGGACAGAACATTTTCATTGGTAGCGCCAACACCTCTGGAACAACCTCTCCGAAGCATTCCGCACACTCGACTCCCATCGCTGTAGTCGGGTCTCAACTCAAAGCTCATCTCTATAACGCTTACGTACGAAGACGGCAACTACCGCATCGCGGCGCTTTCGGAAGCGCTTCCGCGGCCGTCTGGAACGCTCTTCCGATATTTGGAAGCCACTCGAGCTGTGCACTTTTAAATCTAGACTGAAGACGAATTTCTTTAGAACTGCGTTCTGTGTTTAGTTTGTTGTTGTCCTTGCTCCCGCACCTCCGATTATCGCGGTTGGCTACGTACGGTGCTGAAGAAGTTCAACATACATACAATAACACACAACCACAACTTGATTTAACTTTTTTTGAAGTCCTGAGGCCGGCCTCTGCCTATCACTCACGTCATGAATCCATTCAAATTAAGTTCTAAACAGCTATGAACAGTACAACAAACAAAATCTAACCGTATATAGAATTGTGTTTCTTTCGTTTAAGGATGTATTGATGTTACGACGGCGCACTGGGTTGGCACATTTGTGCCGGGAACGCGTGGGCACGCGTTAAACAAAAATAAAACGACTCGATTTTTTTTCCAAGTGCCCAGCACCGCCACGGATTCCGGACGTTATAGTCGGCGCTGCTCGCTCGCTCGCTCTCTCTCTCTCTGCCCGTGGTGCTTCTGTGCAGAGAGCCAGATCGCTCCGACGAGGGAGGAAACGGCACGCTGCGGGGTTTGGACGGACAGCAAGTGGGGGGGGACCTTCACCTCCCCCAAGTACCCGGACCCTTACCCGCCTAACCAGGACTGCATCTACATCCTGGAAGGTGATCCGAGGAGAAGGAGGAGGAGGATGCTCGTGCACGTGCAGGCGATGTTGTGATTGTGATTGGCTCTCACAAGTGTCGAACAATGCTCTCGAGAGCTGTGCTGAAGAGAGGCTATGCCCGTATGTCCTGTGTGTATGTTTGTTGAACTTCTTTTGCACCGTACGTAGACAACCGTGTTAATCGGAGGCGCTGTCTGTATGTTGAACTTCTTTCGCACCGTACGTAGCCAACTGTGCTAATCGGAGGTGCGGGGGAAGGACTAAACGCTGCCCTGTCGCACATGGCGATCCATTTATAGGACACCCCACTGATTTCTAATGACCCTCTGCTCTAAAGGTGTTTCGGGTATTGCGAATGCGATGGCTCCGTCGCTCACACGGGAGAGCGATAAAGGATTTCATCGGTGAATTGAGGCTGGTGGGAAACATCAAGAGGCTCTGATATCAAATGTTGTATTCTCTCTCATTCTCCATACATGGACTACCCTGTATGTATGTTTTCTGTTAGTTACTGTTAGTAGGCGCTGTAGGTGGTAAACTGACTGGCGTGGTGAAGTGTAGTCAAACAACCTTTACGACTGACAGTGCATTGGGCAGTATTTATCCAGCAATTAATTGGCAAAGGGCTCTAATTTAATACATATATTATTAAAAATTGATGAGTGTTTTTCATTTGGTCATGACATCGATCTGTGTTAGATATTTAGCAACACACACACACACACACGTGCGCACTGTGCAGCATTGCATGTGCAAAGTGTCGCGGCCTGATCCAGACCACCAGCTCAAAAGAAGCTCACGCGTGTGGCCAGATTGTCGTTTGGAACCACCGCCTCCAAACAGTTGCGACAGTGTGATCACCCCAAACAAAGCCACGTTTTTCGCAATTTCTCAATTTGCTGAAATTACCAAATGGCCACTCATTCAGCTCCTTTGAGGTGGTGTTTTGGATAAGGCCGAAGCGCCTCCGCACGTGCAAAAGCACGCGCCTCTCCGCTGTTGCTCAGCATATTCGTATTTCAGCCCTTGAAGCGTCATTTTTCCCCCGCGCCCCGTAGAGCATTCTCGTCACTCACAGAGTCGTATTATTGATCCGTGTTTTTATCACCGTCGTGTCGTTAATACCGTTGCATCCATTCATCACGCGCAGTCCGCGAAGGACCGTTGCGCCAAACGTGTGACCTCTTGCGACAGCATTCGCGTGAGCCGCTCTCGCTGCCGTGCGCCGGTGTCTCGAGTCGTTTGTTTTATCCACGTGTCACATTGGGGGGGGTGGGGTGGGGAGGACACCACGTGGGGAGCGGCGCCTTCCCTCCCAGGGTCGCGGTCCGTTTCGAAACGTCGACCGCCGACCGAAGTGCGCAACTTGCTGGAGCTTGCGCGTCGAGACGGACGGGAGTGTCCAAAAAAGTGACAGCCGTCTAATGCCGCTGCCGCTCTGCTGTTCTGCTCTCCGCTCTCCGCTCAGCGCCGGCGCGGCAACGGATCGAGCTGAGCTTCTCGGCGCCGTACTCGCTGGAGCCGTCGTGGGACTGCAAGTTCGACCACATCGAGGTGCGCGACGGCCCCTTCGGTTTCTCGCCCCTCATCGGACGCTTCTGCGGCCACGTCCTTCCCCGGCCCGTCAACTCCACGGGCCGATTCATGTGGGTCAAGTTCTTCGCCGACAGCGAGCTGGAGGCGCTGGGCTTCCGCGCGCGGTTCACGTTCATACCAGGTGTGCGCACGCGCATGGCCTCGGAACAAAAACAAAAACAACACGCGTGGACAAAGAATTTCCCCACGTAGCTTTCAACGGACTGCTGGGGGCGAGTGCCGTTAACAGGGAGTGCCGATGAAGGCCCTCACCTTCATGCGAAGAGATGAGTGGCCAACACCACGCGCGGCCGCCTTTGACCCCACAGCGCTGATGTGTACACCAGGGACAGAGTTAAGGCCGAGCCAAGCTAGGGGAGGCTCAGGACCGGTTCAATTATTTGTCGCCGATGTTGGCTGTGAGCGAGATCGAACTTGGGTCGCCGAGTTTGGAGCGCAGTGCGCTTACCGCTGTGCTGCCGCTCCTCAACACCACAAAGACATACACACGCACACGTACATGGACACACACACACACACAGCTGGTTCAGTGTTTATTGGGTCACTTTGTAGGTGCTGAGAATGAGGGGCCCAAGATGCAAATACACAGATGCAGAGAGACAGAAACAATACACAGAGACACACGGAGTGAGACAGACACAGAGCGATGGACACACATCCAGTGACACACAGTGTGAGACTTACACATACAGGGCCACAGAGAAATAGACAGGCACGAGAGACATGGAAAGAGATAGACATTCTGAGAGAGATAGACACACAAAGAGACATGGAGGCACAGATACGCGCAGAGATTCAGAGAGACACGGAGAGACAAAGAGGCAAAGATCCAGACACAATGACAGAAATGGATACTCCTGGGCATGTGTGTTGAACTTCTTTCGCACCGCACGTAGCCAACTGTGCCAAACTGCGTTGATAGCATGGAACAAACAAGCAAATGCTGTACAAGGATCTCCCATTCAGTGAGGGTGTGTACACTGTACCTATTAAGTCCAGCACGGCGCACAAGACGGAGAAATTACGTTGCCACGGGCACCAGGGCTGCCTTTGTACCCCCGGTCCTTGTTTTATGCTGAGTCGATCTTGGGGTAGGCTCAGAAGAGGTTCAAAGAGAAAGCGCCACTGTTGTTGTGCGTGCCTGGTTTTTGAAAGCGGTGGCTTCGACGATCAAAGCAACAACGGCGCTCACCGAACTACGGGACCACAACTCATGATGTCACCCTTCCACGAGACGTTTAAATCATGAAAACAGGGCATGAATATTCATTAGCTTTTGCCTAATTAAACACGGAACATTGGCTTTAATTTATCCGTTTAGAACGATGCACCCACCCTGGGCTCTTGCAATTACCCAGTTATCCCTCGGAAACTGCTCGCCTTGCCTTTCAATTTGGCCCCATCTCGAGGAGGACGACGCAAGCAAATCGCTTACACGACGCTGGTCAAATAAACATCACGGCCGAATTCCATGTTCTCATTGCGTGCTCTATACTTCCTGTGCCCTGACTTGTGCAGATCCAGACTTTAAGACGCTGGGCAGCCCAATGCCAGGTAAGGGGCCACGTGTGGTTCCTCATGTGACATTAACTGTGGTTCATCATCATCATCAACCATGTTCTATATACTGCCGGATGAAGGTCTCCCCACGCTGTTTTTGTGATACGACAAAACCGCACCCCGACCCGTCAGTCTGAGCACTCAGCCAACACTGCTGAGGCACTGGGTTCGAATCCAGGCAGTCGCCCATTCACTGAATCGGATTCTCAAGTGCAGCGAGTTGACGTCCCTTGCCCAAGTTACCAATGGCTATATTCTTAGTTTTTTCGGTAAAGTCACGTTGAAGAGAAACAACAAAATAACAAAATATATATAAAACAATAAAAAAATTCTCACGACGTTTCGACCATAACTCAAACGGTCATCATCAGGTGTGTTGGTTTGCATAAATTTATTTTTAAACGGCACATTTATTTATTTATAAAAAAAACCGTTGGCGTCACGCGCAGCGATTGGCAGTTTGCCCAGGACTAGTCCATCTATTTTTTTGAAAAGAGACCTGATGGTTCAATGAGCCACTCTGTCTACAGGAAAGCTACCCATACGGATGCTTATCTGAAACCGGATTCCCACCACCATCCATCACAGAAGAATTCTCTCATCAAGACTCTGTATCATAGAGCCCAATGCATATCCGACCAGGAACACATAAGCAGTGAACTCAAGCACGTACACCAAGCTCTTAGGGCTAATGGTTACTCCGACTATACAATCCGCAAAGCTATCACTCAAACCATGAAGAAGAACCCTCTTGAGGAGCCTTTCAAAACCATCACTTTACCCTACATTGCTGGGATCACAAAAAGATCTCCAAAATCTTGAATAAACACAAGATCCAGGTCCGTTTCAACACATTACATAAAATCCGTGATCTGGTTCCGTCTGTAAAAGATGTGATTCCGGACATACAATACCCTGGTGTCTACAAACTAAGTTGCCTCTGTGGTAGTAGTTACATTGGAGAAACCAAACGCCATGTCTCGGACCGCATTCGTGAACATAAAGCAGACCTTAAACACGGTAGGACCAACACCTCGGCCGTAGCAGATCATTGTTCTAATTCAGTAGGCTCACATGCCATTGACTTTTCCAAGACGGAGGTTCTTTGTAAGCCATCTGGCTACCATGAGAGATTCGTTCATGAGGCTATCCACATATACAAGCACAGAGACAATTTCAACCGAGAAGATGGATTCTATCTTAGCAATCATTGGAAAGATTTGATAAATCATTTCAGTTCTTGATTGATTGTTCACGCTTACAGTGGCTTTCAGACAGCATACATTATAAAAAATTTCGTCTCCCCCCTCCTCTTTTCAAAAAAATAGATGGACTAGTCCTGGGCAAACTGCTGCAATCGCTGCGCGTGACGCCAACGTTTTTTTTAAATAAATAAATAAATGTGCCGTTTTAAAATAAATTTATGCAAACCAACACACCTGATGATGACCGTTTGAGTTATGGTCGAAACGTCGTGAGAATTTTTTATTGTTTTATATATATTTTGTTATTTTGTTGTTTCTCTTCAACGTGACTTTACCGAAAAAACTAAGAATATGAATTACTGCAGTCACGAAAGCTTTAAATCAAAATTTACCAATGGCTGTTACAGAAAGCCCAAGAATTAGCTTTCAAATTAATTTGGCCTGCAGAAAGTGTGTGTGTGTGTGTTTTGACTGCCAATACAACAATCTCGTAGCAGAGTGTGCGGGAAAGTGTCGACCCCCCTCCTTGCGGTATTAAAGGACAAAAAGAGGCCACTTGATGGATTTCTGGGGAGAAGTCCTCGTGAGAATTCGCAACCGCAGCCAATCCTCTGTACCGCGTTGCGAGAGTGCCAAATGTTTTTTCCCCCCCCATTATATTCCTCAATAAGGCAAGCCAGCTGAAACAATAAGCTCTTTCTTTGTGTTCTTCTTGGTGACAGTAAATATACATATATATCTGTACTATATTCCTAATTACCCTGTTATTCTTTGCACGAATAGAGCAGGCTGCTAGAGGTAGTAGGCTGTGTGTACGTGTGTGGACGCGTGTGGTGCTTGCCACCCACCCCCTCTTGTGCCGTGCCGGCCTTCATAGGCGCTCGCTAACAGCACTCGTCCCAACAGTCTGTTAAGGCTATATGGGGGATCTTTGTCTTTGTACGTGAGTACCTACATAACTGTGCCAACTCTGCACAGTGGGGAGCAGATGCACTCCAACCTACCAATCATCTAAGTCAAAAGCACCTGAGTCTGTCTCGTAACCTCCCGCCAGCGTGCCTTCGACATATCACGTGGCCACAAAGTGCACCGAGCCTGGTACAATCACTGTGGTGGTGACGTATGCATGCATGTATGTCGAACTTCTTTCGCACCGTACGTAGACAACCGTGCTATTCGGAGGTGACGTGACTGTCAACCAGCGGCGAACGGCGGCCACAGTTGTTGTTATTGTTGTTATTGTTGCGCCCTACGCAGACTGCGAGTTTGAGATGAGCGGTACGGAGGGCGTGGTTCGTTCGAGCCAGATTGAGCACGAGAGGAAGGCTCAGGCCAACGAGGCAGTCGACTGCATCTGGAAGATCCGAGCACCCCCTCCCGCAAAGGTGACTCCCACCCCCAGCCTCCACCCCCCCCCCCAATCCAATATCCCAGAATTCACTATTTCTCCCACTTGTGGTAGTCTAATATCGTAAATAGTGGAACTTCTTTTCAGAACGCTTCACAGTTGCTTATTAAGAGTGTACCCACATACAGTAGGGACAATGTGACGTCTTTTTTTAAAATGTTTAACATCGTGTGTCTACTTACACTTTGCAGTACACTCGGGCAACGGTACATTGTGTAAACATTAAGTGAGTTGGAAAAATCGGTTAACGTTAGATCAAGTAATGTCCGGCCGACACAGATTCGGTTAATAAGGTCACTTTAGATCTGATAAATCAATACTTCCATTGGTTGTTGTGATCCGCGCCACTGTTGCACATCCTCGGATGTTATTTTCACAAAACAGCAGATTTATTACCGCCAACTGCACAAATATTTAGCTTAGTCAATAAAAAAAACGATTTGATTGTTTTATGGTGTTTAAATTTTCATTTTACAGAGCTTTTAGAATACGTCTAGTTTTGACTCTGAAAAATATTTTGTTGGTGCACGCATTTTTTTTCTTAGGTTTGACAGTCGCGCGGGTGCCGAAAGGTTGTGAACCACTGTGAGAAATAAAGTCAGGTCAGATTAAGTAAATTAGGTCAGATTCATTGAGACCAGGCAAAGGGAGGTCAGATAAACACTGGGTCAGGTATCCATCAAGGATGGCCGGATTAAAGACGTCAAGGTCTCGCTTCTAAGTAGGTTTGAAAAAAACATTCAATTTTAGATCGAGCAATGTCAGGTCAGGTCAGACTAAGTAAATCAGGTCAGCTCACATGAAGTAGATTACGTAAATCGATGTAAATCAAGTTAGGTCAGATAAGATTGGGTCAGGTATCCATAAAGGAAGGCTCCATTTGCGACGTCAAGACCTCGCCAACCCTGAAGCATGGCCTTGTTTAAAGCGGGGCATACAAGAACCCAAGCGGGCATGGCATAGTTAAACAAACTTGAGACAAATACCCTGCATAGAATGAGTAATGGAATCATCTGTTTTTGTCTATTCTGCACGTTGCTCTAGCAGACGATGGGTGTTTGCCGAGCTGGCGAACTTCAAAGGAAAACCTCTCACTTGTGCAATAGTGTGCCAACATTGACCAGAGTAAAATAATAATACTAATAACGACAACTTAAAAGAGGGCCCCCTGAACCGTCAGCCGGGCGAGGGCGAGGAAGGGGCACTCCAGCCCAGCCGACGTTACGGGGGCTGGCGATTATTGCCCCCCACCGCCCCCCCCCCTCCCCACCCCCAACTACTCCCCCACATTCACTCAGCACTCCTCGCCACTCAGGCTGCAACGTCAATCCGCCCCCCCCCCTCCCCTCCCCACCACCACCACCCCTCAGATCTACCTGCGCTTCCTCGACTACCAGATGGAGCACTCCAACGAGTGCAACCGCAACTTCGTGGCCGTGTACGACGGCAGCAGCGCCATCGAGAACCTGCGAGCGCAGTTCTGCAGCACGGTGGCCAGCGACCTGATGCTCCGCTCTGGAGTGGGCGTCGTGCGGCTCTGGGCCGACAACTGCAGCCGTCTCAGCCGGTTCCGCATGCTCTACACGTCCTTCCTCGACCGTGCGTTGCCCGACGCCGCGACCGGCGCATGACACGCGCACGCCTGGCACGCGCGCGTGCGTGCGTGCGTGCGTGCGCAACGCTGACAGACGTTTTAACACGTAGGCTTTTCGCGAGCAATATCATCCCCGATACAGGTTTTTTTTTTATTATTATTATTGAGGCGGCCTTCTTTATGGAACTCGTCTCACCAGTGTTAGAAAGTGGCAAAAGGCGAACAATGCATATATTATCTGAGCATGTTTGTTTGCATGTTTTGCCAAAAGTATTTTTGGTTAATGGAGACTTGATGCCTTGCAAAATGTATCTGGTATTTGGTGTTTGAAACACCTGCTGTTTTAGTGCCAGAAAGGGTTCAAAGCTATTCTTATTTTGATCATTGGCGTTGGGCGTGAGCGGGAATCGAACTCGGGTCGTCGGGTTCCTAGCGCAGCGTGCTAACTGCTGCGCCACCGCTCCCCGTGATGTTTGACCTTCGCCCCTTGTCGGACGTTCACGTTGACACTCGCGCCGCTCGCCGTTGGGCCCCCCCCCCCCCCATCTCTCTCTCTCCGTGCATGTGCGGCGCAGCGCCCTGCGACCGCAACTCCTTCTTCTGCCACAGCAACATGTGCATCAACAGCTCACTGGTGTGCAACGGCGTACAGAACTGCGCCTACCCGTGGGACGAGAACCACTGCAAGGGTACGTGGAACGTGGGAGTGGCAAAACCGTGCTGGCAGAGGCTTTACATTTAGTATGCTTCATAAAATATACACAGGATGTACATGAAGTAACTATTTAGATCAATTAGTTTTCCAATGTTTGTCTGTTAATCTGTTTGCCTGCCTGTCTGCTGGTCTCTCTGCATGTATGTGTAGTGTAGCGCAAGTCGGAGACGAGGTAGTTGCAGGAGGCACCTTCTTTTATTGTAACACCTTTCCGGCCGTTCACAGACAGGGTCGCCTCCTTGCTTGCTCACCTCGCCGTAGAGCCCGGCCTAGACACAAATCCTAACCGCGTTGCACTGTCGGCGTCAACCGAGATAGCCAACCACTGTCCGGCCACGCAATGATCGGTCGAAGGCGACAGCGACGACGAGACGAGTCCACTCCCAGAACCGGCAGCCCGGAGCTCTCGCTCTCCGCTGCTTTTATTCCCCTCGGCGTGGCTCGACTCCGCCCAAGCCGCGCCTCCCTTCTCGAACCCACTAGCGGGTTCCAGGGACTTCCCCACGAGATCTACCGTGACCCTTGCCCCAGTTCCTCCGCCCTGCCGGCACACTCGTGTATATGCTCGACGGCTTGTGCGCTAACTGTCCACTGCTGGACAGCAGTCGGCGCTATGTCACTACATACGTCTGTCTGTTTGCCTGTCTGCTTGCCTGCTTGCCTGCTTGACTGCCTGCTAACCTGTTTGGATGCCCGCCTGTCTGCCTGTCTGCCGGCCTGCCTGCCCATCTTACTCCCCCATCCGCCTGGCCGTTTCCTCGCGCACCAGAGCGGAAGAAGCCGAGCTTCTGGCAGCACATCACCAAGACCAACGGCACCATGATCGGCATGTCCACGGCGCTGGTGCTGGTGCTGCTCGCCCTCTCCGTCTACGTGCAGCTCACGCAGCCGCGCAAGAAGCTCACGGCGAGGCGCGTGTCGTCGAGCGTGCGGGACACGTCGTGCGCCTCCCCGACGGCCGGCGCAGCGTCCCCCTCCATCGCCGCCACCGCCACCTACGACCCCTTCCCGCTCGGCGACAAGGAGACCTACGTGGACCTGTCGGACCTCCCCGACGACTTCCAGCCGCTGTCGGGCATGCGCCGCTCCTCTTCGACGGCGCTGTCGCGGTGCGTGCGCGAGCACCACTGCGGAGGGCTGGCGACGTCGACGCTGCCGCACAGGCCGGCCGCGCGGGAGCGCGAGAGGGAGCGGGAGAGGGAGCGAGGGGAGAGGGAGCGGGAGCGGGGAGAGAGGGAGCTGCGCGAGCTGAGGGACCGGGACAGGGAGGGCCGGGGAAACCCGCCGTGCGCTATGGCGCCACCCGATCACCCGCTCCTGCCGCCGCCGCTGCCTCACACGCAGCCGCAGCAGCACCACCACCACCACGTCAACAGCCTGCAGAGCTTGCACAGCCTGCAGGGAGTGCCCGGGCAGGGCCTGACAGTGACCGTTCAGCAGAGCGCTGCCAGCCTGCTGGGAACCAGTGCTCACTCGCCACAGCAGACACTGCAGCAGCAGCAGCAACATCAGCTACAACAGCAGCATCATCACCAGCCGCAGCATCACCCGCAGCAACATCACCACCATCTCCACCAGCACCTGCAGACGTCCACGCTCCCACCACCGCTGCCCGCACCCAAGCGGAGCTTCTACACGTTCAAGCCGAGCCCCGGACATGAGGGAGCGGGCACGATCGTCGAGAAGGCGGCCGCGGCGGCCGGGGCGGCTACGACAACGACGGCGGCGACGACCCCGGCCAAGGCCGTCACGGAGGCGGCGTGCGAGGGCTGCGTGCCGCAGGAGCGACCGCGCACGCTGCAGAGGTCTGTGTCCGTGGAGGTGTGACCCCCCGGGTCCGGCGCGGAAGCAGACAGAGACCCCCGTGTTCCCTGCCGTCATCCACAAGTCCACGGAAAACTCTTTTTTTTGTTTGCACGTTTCAGGAATGGGGATGAAATGGGATTTGCCGGCGGGCCCGCTGGGACAACGATGCGCAGCGGCAGTGCCACAGCGCGGGGGATGTATACGCCGTTTAAAACGTTCCTCCACGGGACCCTGCAATGTAATTCCGAATTTCTCTTTCGCTCCGTGACGTTTTGAGATGACAGCGAGTGATGCGGTGCCGTTCGAGTGGTGCTCACGGACCGCGCGGTGAGAAGTGACGAACACCCCTGAACGCCGGAGCCTTCTTCCAGGGGTTGGTCTCTTTGTTGTTGTCGGAGCCTTGCACAAGGCCTTAGCATGGTGTGACTGCGGCTTCGAGGTGTCATTGTCGATGCTGGAGCCACTAAATTAAAACAACAACAACAACAAATGTGAAACTAAACACACTGTTTTTGTCCTCTCAATACCTTTCGTATTTTTTTATGAGTAACGAGCGTTTTGCTTTTTTTCACATCCAGTGCACCCACTTCCCAACATTCTCACACGCACCCTGAATTAACAGGGCACCGAGTTTCATTTTCTTTGTGAAAAAGTTTCCCGGCACCAGTGGATGTCAGCGCGGGCGACCAGACGCCTCTGTCTGTTGCATCGGCATTTTGTCCTCTCACCGCCATGTGATCGTGAACGAGCGTCAGAGACAACATAGAGCAAAAGGAAATTCAGTGTGAGAATTGTGGTGGGGGGGGGGGGGGGTACGGTGGGAGGGAGGTGCTGGAGGATGATGGATGGCAATCAAGAGAGTTATATGAAAACTGTGAGTTAATCTATTCGAGAGACATTTACACAAACAGGTGATCTCAAGGATGAAAACGCAGTGGGAAGTCTAAGCGAGCAGCTGCTGGACATTTGCTCTCTGTTCCATTGCGTTTGGACAAGGGGTGTGTGCCAAGACTTCACAGAAACAACTCGACATGTGGACACTGTTGTGACGTTCGAATCGCCGAGCCAGCTTGTATTATTGGTTCACGCCGTACTGTTACAGGGTAAAGCTGTGGTCAACGAAGCGTCTGTATTTGTGAAGCTGAGAATGCGAGGTGATACAAACAAAAATGGTTGTAGGTGTGGTTCGGTTTCTCTCTTCCCGTTGATATTTCGCTGAACACATTTTCTCCGTGTAAAAATCACATCGATCTTGTGCACTGAAGATATCTATCTAAATGAGGTAAAAAGGCACCCACCTGAATTGTCAGTTGCTCGTGCAGACTCATTGATCTAACGCTTAGAACATGCACTAATGGACACTTGTTGCATCATAACTCCGACACGGAGTTTAAACAACGGTCCCGTGGACTGCTCACGCTGTCCGAGTGTTGCTGATGACCATATTCAGGGGTTTAAAATTCAGCTCATGGTGGTCTCAAATCTGGCCCTCATTTTCATCAGGGGGTCAGTTAGTGCGGCGGGTAATGGAACGTGCAAGCAGCATTGACCAAACACGTTCAATCTCACTGCGTCAACCATTCTGCCAGCGAGTCCCATTTCAAATTGGACGGAATGCGTGCACACAAGTGGCTGGTTGAAATGCAAGTGGCGTCCAAACGCACAAAGCCGAGTGGGCGGTTTGCATGGCCCTTGGTTCAAGGATGAAATGGGGGGGCTCTGGCCAATTCACCCCCTCTTCCTGGCCCTGTGCCTGCCCCCTCCTCTGCCCTTCCCGGCCATTGGGGCCCACGTGCGGTCGCACTGCTCCTGCACTCGACAGCTGTGTCACTGATTTAGAGCTATTCATTCCAGCTCTTGAGGATTTTAATTCCGGGTGAAATTCGATGTCGAATTGGAGATGGTGCGATCCTGTTTGTGTGGCTCTGTTTCTTCACTCATTTTCAGAGTGGGGGGGGGGGGAGCCACTTTCGCCGATAAGACCGATAATAAGACGTCAGTGTTAGGGCCGCCACACGGCGCTGCAGGTGGGTGTTTTCACATTTGTGTATTGCCGGGGGGGCCGCACGTCAGGGGCCGCACTAAAGGCCATCACCAGGGGCCGCCAGTGGCCTGCGGACTGCTGTAGCTTCACCTCTCCCTGGCTACACCGGAGTTCCTGTGCAATTTTACGCACTCATACAATTGCTAATGTACGAACGATTTGAACGCGTAGCCATAAAATGTAGTTTAACATTGGGTGAATGTTTGACTCACCACAGCGACGGCACCTACCTAGCAAATGCGTTGCATTTGTCAACTCTAAATTCTGTGCACCTGGCCGGATGAAGAGTGAGCGGACAGGTGGCTCTGCGTTGACATTAAGCCATTCAAAATGTCACTCGACAAAAAAAAAGTGTGAGAACCAGACTTGGGTAAATATTCAATGTAAATCAATTTTTGGCATGCCCTGAATCATCCCGAGGACATTGTGCTGCTGTGTGTGATGTATAAGGTTTCCTTTATTGCCGTCAAATCACGTGGGTCTTTTGAGTGTCAGAAAAAAAATCAAGAATTCACATTCAAACCCAGGGTGCAATAAATTGGCTGCAACTTCTGCAAGAAGGAAATAACTCAGAGCAGAAAAACGGTCTCCCTAACCCAGATGAAATCCGCACATCTCCCCTTGTTTGCTTGTGGATCGTTGTACTGTTTTTTTGTTTTACAAAAAGTTGAGTGTTGAAGGGGTTATTTTCTCTATCGCTAATGTTTAACAATTTGTATTTGTAATCGCATTTTTTACCAATTATATCTTCGAGCACTAAATGATGACTCCACGTGACTGCAATTGCAGTTGGGGTTGGAAATTGCTGGTGTAATTGTCAATTAGGGACAAGTGCTGCGGCAATTCTAAACCAGGCCTAAACAGCAGTGGCAGCAGCAGCACCCTATGCAACGGCCCTCCCGCTCCCAAATGCCCCCCATCCAGAATTGGAGCTGGGTTTCTCCTGCCAGTGTGCGTTGCTTTCACATAGGCAATTACACACGATGCCCTTACGGCAACTTGCAAAGAAAGCCGCGTTAAATGAGTTGTGCAGGAGCGAAAACAGCAACAAGAAAGTGACACTTTAAAATACATATTTTATCGGTGGAAGGAATGCGCACAGAGCTTAGGGCAAGGATTTCAGGTTGAGGATTGCAAGACATTAAACTGTGGGTTAAAGGCTACAGGCCGGATAACCCGAGCCACCATCGTTGTAATCATCATCTTTCAGTATGAGGTTTCGAAGCACCAACACGGCACCTGTTTCACGTTTGAGTTGATGTATGTCTAAACAACTAAAATGTTATACATATGAGTAATGAGCTTCTTGAATAATATAAAAAACACGTGCAATAATTGTCTGCCAGCTGTCGCACTTGTTAGAAACTGAACTTTTTTTCTGGGAAAACAAATAGAATTGCCACGAGCCTAGCAATCAACAACCCGAGGATATTAGCCGATGATGAAAGCAAGCTCTTACCGTTGCACATAAATGTTAGTGCGACAAAAGAGTAAAGCTATGTTGTGCTAGCTCAAGCTAAAACTCAATAATTGCTGTGACGAAAACGTTTATACAGGGACTCCTCTACTTACGAACGAGTTAGGTTCCAGACGTCTGTTCGTAAGTCGATTTGTTCGTAAGTCCAACTTTATTTCTGTCGATTCCAAATGTGTTGTACGGCATGTACACTAAACACGGGAAATGGCTTCAAAGGTTGTATAATCTCCTGTAGATGTAGATGCCACTGGGTTGTCACGTTCTGCAGATGTAGATGCCACCACCGCCATCTATTGCGCAGTGGTTGAACTTACGACTATCGGTCCGAACAGGCAACTGGACATACGAACAGGTTTGTCCGTATCTCTGAAAGTTCGTAAGTCGAATGTTCGTAAGTAGAGGAGTTCCTGTACATGAACTAAATACAGTCGGTCAACTTTTAACGTAAATTGGCTATGAAATATATATTTAGGCGGTTAACGGCACACTGCTTAATTGTTCTCACGTGCGCACCTGAAACATGATTGTATAGCATTACAAAATTACCCTTTGGTTCATTCGGTAAAGTCACGTAGAAAGGAAAAATAATAAAATAAATATTAGATCACGGAGTTTCGATTGCAACACAAGCAACCGTCATCAGGTGAGAACTGTGTGTAAATGCAAGCTCGGAGAAAGACACATATACAGAGAGAGACAAACACAGACACGGAAAGACACACATACACAGAGAGACCCAGAGAGAGAGAAACAGAGAGAGAGACACAGACTTTTGACTTTTAAACAACTTTTATTGCCGCCCGCAGCAAAAGCACTGGAGGCGATTTCGATATGAAACACACACAGTCACCAGCAAACAAATGAAAATAAACGTTACAAATCCACGCGCTGTGGCGCTAAAAAGCACCGCGCACAACATGAAAGAAAAGTCATGTGGTGGTTGTGGTGGTCATTCGCGCACGCCACGTTGACGAGCGAGCGCTTCAGAAGGTGAACACGTGGGGTGCCGTCCACGCTAGTACAGAGAGGGGCTTTTCCGGCTCCCCAGCGTTCGAAGAAGACGTGCACATCACCGACACAGAGAGAGAGACACACATAGAGGAGAGACACACAGAGAGACACACACGTAGAGAGAGACACACACACAGAGATACACAGAGAAACAACGCCTCTGTGACGAGGTATTATATAGATCCCAGAGGGGGAGGGAGGGGGGAGAAGGGGCTGCAGTAACAGGAGAGATCGGCGTAAAGAGTAATTCCTGCAGTCACGAAAGCTTCAAATCGAGATTACAAAGTTATCATACGAATAACTCATAGAGCATACGGTTTGCAATTATTTTAAATTGTTTTTTGCTCTCCACTTTTATTTCAACGCAAATAAATTCTCTGCAATACATTTTAGAAACGTGGACAAGTTTGACATACATTGTGACGACATTTGCACACCTATTTTACTGGCGTTGATTGCGGGTGACAAATAGTGTCCATTTACTTCGTCTTCTATTCGGACCACGCAGTGAATAAAACACCGTGCAAAGAGAACGCAGTGGCGGTATCACGGCGGCAAAAACACGAGTGCTTTATTCAGTGTTGCAGAAACACTGCCCCCAAAAAAACCATGCTTTTGTTATCGAAAGTTTTATAGAAATAAAAAAAAACTTTTGTAGACACGGTAGAGTGTATAGCCTGTGTTTTCTACGGTAATATTTTGCAGGTTTCACAGTTCACACAGATTTCTTTATTTCACGTAAGCCTCCCAAGAGTCGACACAATGTTTTGTATTCACTCATAAATATGCTCCTGGCTTTTAAACACATTTTCCACATCGTGAGCATGTTTAGAGGTAACGCGTTATGATAATGTATGAATGAATTCATGTTATGACAATGGTTTCAATGTTGCTGAAACTTTACAAGGCAGTGGGTGGACCGATTTTTGTATTATTATTAATAGTATTACAGTGTATCTGCTTCATTCTTGAGGTGTGTTTCATTCTATAGCCCATCTTAATTTTTTTCACAAGCCTAAAATATTTCATTCTCAACTTGGAATTTGTGTACTGATTACAGTGATTCGTTTACAATGCGATGATACCTCAACGAATTTTTTAAAATATTTTCTTTGTCAAACTTTTTTTCCAGGGAGCGTTTTCGACCTTGGGTCTTTGTTCCAGTATTCTGCTAAAACTATAATAAAATAATTGAGGCTCATGTGAACACTTCAACGTGCTATTTCTCTCCCCATTATACATCATACGTTATGACAATTACAGACATCCATAATCAAGACACAGCACATTCTATGGTAAATTCAAAAACAAGGTTCTCATTTATCATGTTTGTAAATTGTATAGCAAGCCTTGCATCACAATCCTTTCTTGATTGATGTATGAATAATCTACTGTGTCTTACCTGGAGCCTGGAGTCACTGATCTCTGGACTCGAACATCTTTAGTGTACATTGAATTAACCTGACAAAGTGGCTCCATTCCGTTCAGGTGGTGTTGTTAATCTCTGGATTTACTGGAAGATACCATGCACCTTGATTTCCCCCACACTCTACAAATGCTCAATAACAAATCGGCTCAACTCCCCAAACAAAGAACCTTCTAAAAATGAAGTAAAGCTTGCCTGTAAAACGTATTTCCTCTACCTAGCTTTATTAAAGTAAAATCCGATTTTACTCGATGAGTTTTTTTTTATTTAGTATTCTCTTTGTGTTTATGTATACATTGATAGTTTGGCTTCAGGGGTTTGTGGCTCGTTTATTACAAGAAACTTTGAATATTTGAAATCTTACCCAAATCTTGCCTCTGCTTTCCATGAACCCTGTCAAGCATAGTGTGCTACTCTACATCTATGAAACTCATACTGTGTGTATATATAGAGAGAAAGATGTTAATCTTTTTTCAGTGTTACCACTTGTTCAATAAAACATGTTTTGAATAAATATTTTATGTAAAACAACGGTGCAGAGATTTGCTTGAAAAGAAGTTACATTTTAAGGTCACTCACCCGAAATACAATTTATCACTTATCCCTGAAAACCCTCGTACGCTCACTGACATGTGCACGACATACTTCATGAATAGATTATGTATTCTCACACTCCCTTATTAA